CATATGGCTCTCACAAACTGGGGTGCTGGAGAACTTTTCAGGGGAGCGATGAGAGGGGGGGGGGTGGGGGCGGGGATGAAAATTAGAGACTGAATGAGCTCTAAGTAGTTTTAAAGGATTCAATTAACTATTTCTCATGGCTGCCCTGAAAAGTTCTTCAGCACCCCAGTTTGTGAGAGCCATATGATCTTAGCGCCCTAGGCACTCTTGTCTTCAGGTATCTCTCCTCCATTCAAATATATTAAAAATTAGGGTGGGGCATGTAGCTCAGTGATAGAATGCACAGTTAGCATGCAGGAGGCCTGCCCTGGGTTCAATCCCCAGGACCAAAAATAGATAAATAAAATTTAAATTTTATTTGGGTTGATATAAAGATGAATACAACAATATTATGTTAAAACATTTAAGCTGGGTATGGTAGAACATACCTGTAATTCCAACAACTCAGGAGGAAAGCTAAGGCAAGAGGATCACAAGTTCAAAGACAACTTAGCAAGAACCTATCTCAAAATAAAATATTTTTTAAAAAGGCTGGTGGACATATAGTTCAGTGGTAGATCCTCTGCCCCAGGTTCAATCCCCAGTATAAAAAATAAAATAAAATTTAATTTTTTTCTTTTAACCTAAGAATCATTTTTTTCTCTGATTATTAAAAACAAACAAACAACAACAACAAAAAAATGAAAACATCCTTGTGGGCTTTGAGGACCATAGTTGTTGTGCTCTCTGACTAATCAAGAAGGAGCCCCACCTGCAAGACTGTGGTAGACTTACACAAACAAATTCACATATTGTAGTTCTCTTTAAAGGGCCACTGCATATGCTTTGAGAGAAAACAAAAGGGAGGGCAAACTAGATGGCACTTCAAATAATTTTTTATTGTAATGACAGCCATCTCCATCATTCTTGAAGTGATTTCAACCTCCATTTTAACGTTTTATAAAATTTTCCATGGGCAGATGAAATTTGCAGATTTTTCCTGAAGATGGTGCTACATACTCAGTTCCCAGGCAACACACTGTGAATGCAAAAACAAGGACCACTATGATAAGAAAGCACATAAACATTTAATGCAAACATGACATTTTCAAGGATAAAATTCTTCATTAACACAATATCGGTTTTTCCTATGAGCATAGACATCTTCATTACACCTGATTATCCAATAATTATAGCCAATTGCCTGAGTGCAGTTAACAATTCCCATTGTGCTAGTAAGGGATATTACTTTCATTTCAAGATTTGGTGATTTACTGAATCTGTCTGAGATTAAAATTTTTTGAATAGTATTAGGTTACCTTCAAAACATTTTGTCCTGTATACACTGAACTTGGAAAAGCTAGACAATTAAAATAAACAATAATTTCAGGTATCTTAAGATTATACTATTTTCATGCTACTATTTTGTCATTGATAAATAATCATGCCATATATAATCATATGTATCATTGACAGAAAAATCTATGTAAGGGATGATACTTTCCTAATGTCCTCCTTTCTGTGCACCATAATTTTGTCTAAAGTAAGTAGGTTTCTCCTGCTATCAGTATAAGTAGCTTAAAAAATAAGATTTTAGGGCTGGCCTCAGTGGCAGAGCACTTGCCTTGCGTGTATGAGGCACTGGGTTCGATCCTCAGCAACACATAAAAGTAAATAAATAAAGTAAAGGTATTGTGTCCATCACAACTAAAAATAAATAAATAAATAAAAAGAAATAAGATTTTAAAAGACACACATGTTATGGTAAGAATTATCCTAATTTATTACCCACACTTTGCGCGCGCGCGTGTGTGTGTGTGTGTGTGTGTGTGTGTGTGTGTGTCTTAGGGACTGAATTCAAGCCCTTGCATGTACTAGGCCAGTGCTCTACCACTGAGCTATACTGCAGCCCTTGTTTTCCAATCCAATAGATAAATTATAGATAGATGAGATAAGATGTTGCTGGGCATGGTGGCACATGTCTGTAATTCCAGTAACTTGAGAGGCTGAAGCAGGAGAATTATCAAGTTCAAGACCAGCCCCAGCAACTTAGCAAGATCCTGTCTCAAAAAATAAAAAGGATTGAGGATATAGCTCCGTGGTAAAATGTCCCTGGGTTCATTCGACCACTGTTTTTTTTTTTTTTTTAAAAAAAAGGTGTACATAGAGTTGATTCTGGTGTGATGTCAAACTTCAATCTTCCTTACCAAGCAATTACTGATAACTTTTGTCTACTGTGTCAGGAGATACTGTTATAAACTAGTTTGGTTTCTTCTTCTAGAATCTCAGATAATCCTCTGCTTTTTCTTCACTGTTTTGGTTCAGTGTTGTCTGAGCTGAGACGTTCCTTTCTCTGGTGAGGGCTTTGATTAATCAAAGGAAATTCTTAGCATTTAAATTCTTGGAGGTTTGCTTATTCTGAAGCCTGAAGCCATGTCATTAGGTGCCAAGAACCATAGATTAATTAGGAAGATTTTGACATCAACTTCTGTATTAAGAGAGTTAACAGAGAAGCCTACAGAATACTTTATTCCCTGATCTGACTGCTCTTTGCCACGTCAACATTCTCTGACTTTTTCTGAGAACTATGAGAGTAGAGCAGAATTTTATTTTATTTTTTCCAAATCCCTTCTTGTGATAATAGTCAACCCTTTCTTTGGATTTTTCCTGAAACCTACCTCCCCAATATCAGAATCAAGCCATTTCCAGTATAATGCCAAAATCATACCCCTCCTGCAACATAACAGATTAAATAAAATGAACATTACAGATGACAGTCTTCCCACTTCATTTTCAGTGTAAATGGTCGACATA